CCACGCAGCCTTGGCGGTCAGGTGTGCTCTGGAAGCCGGCGTGGCAGGAGCACTGGAAGGCACCGATGACGTTGACGCACTGGCCGTGGGGACACAGGCCGTCACTCAGGGAGCATTCATCAACGTCTGCAGGGGGAGCACATGGCTGGTGGGGACAGCAGGTAGGGGAGGGGCCCCAGGGAAGGCCCGGCCTGTGTTCGGCCGCCATCTGCAGGACCCCGAGGCACTGGGACACGTGTGCACTCCGATGCATTCATGCTCTTGGCATCCACATGCCACCACAGGTGTGAGTCCACACCTCACCCTTGTACAAACACGCACCCACACCCAGATCCACGTGCCCACCCACGTGCACACCCACAAGACCACGTGCACACCCACAAGACTCACCCAAAACACACCCTTGAATACACACACCCTCAGCAGATAACACCCACACCCTGATCCATGCACCTACGTGCACACAGCTCACACACAAACACACCCTCACACCCACTCACATGCAAACACAAATACACAAATACACCTCATACCCACTCATAGGCCAACACACTCACCCTCGACACCCACACCCACACAGCCCCATCCACAAACACACCCACCCGTGTGCAAACACACATCCACACCTAGACACACATTCTCTCACAAGCTCATGTAGACGCACAAACACCACATCCCCTCACATAAGAACACACATCCTTGTGTAGACACACACTCAGACTCACACGTAAACCCCCATGCACACACTCTTGTACACATTCCCAGATACACACCTGCATGCTCACACAGACACACAAATACACACTCCCTCCGCCTCACACCCACGCAGTCATATCACATGGACGCACATGACCCGCACCCATACTACCTCATGCGTGCAACTGCTCACATGCATAGAGACTGACACACATGTGCATACATATACATAAGTACGTACTCAGGGAGATGCACAAACACACACTCCCACCATCTCCCTCATGCAACCCACACTCACCCTCACAAGCAGTGCCCTTGGCCACCAGCGCATGTCCAGCGGGGCACTGGCACTCATAACTCCCATCCGTGTTGGTACAGGTGCCTCCCCGGCACAGCAGTGGGTCCCGGGCACACTCATCCACATCTGGGCGTGTGGAGAGAGAGAGGAGGTGTGAGGATGCTGACCTGGCAGGGTGTGATGTGGCTTGTGGAAGCTTCTCCCCGTGCCCCTCTCCCCCAACCCTGTCACCCTGGCTGAAGCCGAAAGGGCCTGGAGTTTTGGGACTTGGGTGATCCATGGGAGTCAGACTGGGAGGGAAGCTGGAATTCTCAGAATTATCAGGGACACAGGCTGACACTCCTGGAGCTGAAGGAGGCCCTGAGAAGCACCCCCACCCCCCAGAGGATACAGAGGGAAGGCAAGGCCCAGCCCCTCCAGGCATCAGCACAGGGAGTGGGGGACCTCACCACCCACCCCCCCTCTCCTCCCACTCCAGCCTCATGGGCCTCCTTCCACCCCTCAGGTGCTGTTCCCCCTCCCACTCGGCCCTCCACACAGCAGCTCCTTCTATCCTTCATGTCCACCCCAGGGCCTTTGCATGCACTGTTCTTTCTTCAAGCCGCTCTTCAGCCCCTCTTCACCCCAGCTACTCCCACTCTCTCAGCCCCACAGAGTGGGATACATCCTAGGGGTCTATGCTCCCACTGCACCAAATGGCCCTTTCAAGTGCTTATGACAGTGGCTATTTATTTTGCATTTGTCTGGGGATTTATTTTATTAAACATCTATCTCCCCATTAGGTCACGAGCTCCGAGAAAATGGCCCTTTGCTGCCGAGCTCTCTATGGTTCCCCTGAGTAGAGGCACATGAAATGTTCACTGAATGAAAAAGTGAATGAAAGGGGAAGAGGCTCCTCTGTCCCGGGCCCCCTCCTCTTCTCATGCTACGACCCCCCCGGGAGGCCTGCCCGAATCTTGGTTCCCAGGCTTCTCATCTGAATGCCACACCCAAAGTCCAGCAGCCTACAGGGATGACGCCCACACTCGCTGTGTCCCAGCTGGATCATGGCTTCTCCCCACTCCGGCCCCCTCCACCTACATCCATCACAGCAACGTCACCCCCATCCCTCGGCTCGGCCCCGAGACCCCCGAGCATCACCCTTCCCAGGGTGGCTGCCTACCCATGCAGTTCTTCATCATCATGAAGCCACTCTCGTAGCCGTGGAAACACTCACACTCGAAGCTGCCCGGAATGTTGACGCAGGTGCCCTGGCCGCAGAGGTCAGGGGAGATGCGGCACTCGTCAATGTCTGTGGAGAGAGTGGGCACGGGCCGGGCCTCCACATCTGCAAACACCCAGGGGTGCACAGGAGCCCCAAGCTGCTGAACTGAGCCAGGTTAACAGAGGTGCCGTGACTGCACCCCAGACGAGGGTAGGGAATTTCCTTCCAGCCTGGAGGCCCCTGGAGGCCACCTCTGCCAGCCCCTCCTTTTATAGTTGGGATCCCGAAGGCCCAGAGAGGGTGTTGAGCTGTCCTCGGTCACAGAGCAGGCAGGTAGACAGGCAGGAAAAGGCCGGTTCTTGTCTTTTAGGTGCCTCTAGTTCATGGCCCCCATCCCTGTAGGCGCACCCCCACCGCCCAGGAGGCAGATGCGGGCACGTACCTGTGCAGTTCCTTTCCTGGGCATCCAGGGCAAAGCCCCCAGAACAAGAGCAACGAAAGCTGCCCACGGTGTTGCGGCAGGTGCCGTGTGCACACAGCCCGGGGAAGGCTTTGCACTCGTTCACATCTGCAGCATGGGAGCACAAAATGTCACGCTGCCCCGATGTCTCTGGGTCCCCACCTCCTGAGCGTTCACCCCTCTGGCCACAGATGTTTGTTCTCTCCCAAACACACATCCCATCTCCAGGCCTCTGCCCACGCTTGTGCCCTCTTCCCATCCACCAGGTTCCCTGAGCCCAAACACACCTTTATAGAAGGGCTGGCCTGAGAGGAAGTCCCGGCTGGCAAAGCCCAGCCCCCGGGGACACAGGCTGGCAAACGCTGGGGACTCAGGCTCAGGGCATGCCTCGCACGCGGCCCCCCACGCGGCTCCCAAGGAGCAGCAGCAGACGTCCATCCGGTACTTGCCGGGCAGGGCGGCCCCACATTCATCCTCATCCCAATGCAGGAAACAAAGCTCCAGGCGCACATCTGCAAGGAGGGGCAGTCACCAGTCCTGCCCCTGCCACACTGTGCCTGCCAGGACAGGCATTAGAGCCTCCTTCAGCAGCTTCTTCTGAAACTTCCTCCCCAACGGGAAGAGTGACTTCCTTATGCTGAGAATCAATATCATCCAATACTTCCTTTTTTTTTTTTTTTTTGGCAGCACTGCGTGGCTGGTGGGATCTTAGTTCCCTGACCAGGGATCGAACCTGGGGCCCCCAGCAGTGAGAGCACCGAGTCCTAACCACTGGACCACCAGGGAATTCCCAACAGTTACATTTTAAAAATGATATAATCCAATAGTTACATTTGAATAATGGTATAATCCAAAACTTACACTATAATAACTTGCACTGCTAGGTGCTTGCTATGTGATGGGCACTGTTCTAAGTTCATCAATCCATTGAATCCTCAAAAAAACACCAAGAGGAAAATATTATCATCATGCCCATTTTACAGGCAAGAAAACTGAGGCAGAGTAGGGTTAGGTAGCTGACCTGAGGCCAAACAGTTAGTAAGAGGTACAGCGGGGTTCAAACCAGGCCATCTGGCTCCAGAGTGTGTGTGTTTAACCTGTAAAGCTCCCTTGGAATAATCTGGGAGTGGATAAGCCTTCCTCAGCACCAGACACGAGGGTCTAAGAATGGGGCTGGTTAACTACGGCCTGGGGTGCCAGCCTCCTGTTTTTGTAAATAAAGTTGACATCCATTTGTTTCTGTACTGTCTGTGGTTGTTCTTACACTACATGGCAGAGCTGAGTAGCTACAACAGACTGTGAGGCCCCAAAAGCTGAAAACATTTACTCTCTGGCCCTTTGCAGAAACAGCTGGCTGATCCCTGGTCTAAGACAACTTCTCACTCTTTACAAAACGAACATATGTTTAAGTGGGTCCATTTGAGGACAAGACCCTGTTACAGAATCTTTAGGGAAAAATAAAGATAAGCGAAGTGCCATGACACACAGGGATCTGTCTTAAGTTCCCGTGTACCCAGTGCCTCGGTCCAGGGCTGACCAGACTGAGCCATTTCACCTGGCCGTGAATTCAGCAAATGGCTTTTTTTTCTCTTTACTCAGCTACTTTCTTTCCTTGCTCACCTTTTGGAATCAGCAAGAAGACCCGCTGCACACCTGAAGCTCAGTTTAGAAGGAAATCGAAGTTGAGAAGGGTCATCAGGGCCCATCTGCCTGATGTTGACCAGGCTCCAAGGTGACCCCGAGGAGGCTACCAATGGATTGATGGTTTTTTTTTTTTTTTGGCAGCACTGCGTGGCTGGTGGGATCTTAGTTCCCTGACCAGGGATCGAACCTGGGGCCCCCAGCAGTGAGAGCACCGAGTCCTAACCACTGGACCACCAGGGAATTCCCAACAGTTACATTTTAAAAATGATATAATCCAATAGTTACATTTGAATAATGGTATAATCCAAAACTTACACTATAATAACTTGCACTGCTAGGTGCTTGCTATGTGATGGGCACTGTTCTAAGTTCATCAATCCATTGAATCCTCAAAAAAACACCAAGAGGAAAATATTATCATCATGCCCATTTTACAGGCAAGAAAACTGAGGCAGAGTAGGGTTAGGTAGCTGACCTGAGGCCAAACAGTTAGTAAGAGGTACAGCGGGGTTCAAACCAGGCCATCTGGCTCCAGAGTGTGTGTGTTTAACCTGTAAAGCTCCCTTGGAATAATCTGGGAGTGGATAAGCCTTCCTCAGCACCAGACACGAGGGTCTAAGAATGGGGCTGGTTAACTACGGCCTGGGGTGCCAGCCTCCTGTTTTTGTAAATAAAGTTGACATCCATTTGTTTCTGTACTGTCTGTGGTTGTTCTTACACTACATGGCAGAGCTGAGTAGCTACAACAGACTGTGAGGCCCCAAAAGCTGAAAACATTTACTCTCTGGCCCTTTGCAGAAACAGCTGGCTGATCCCTGGTCTAAGACAACTTCTCACTCTTTACAAAACGAACATATGTTTAAGTGGGTCCATTTGAGGACAAGACCCTGTTACAGAATCTTTAGGGAAAAATAAAGATAAGCGAAGTGCCATGACACACAGGGATCTGTCTTAAGTTCCCGTGTACCCAGTGCCTCGGTCCAGGGCTGACCAGACTGAGCCATTTCACCTGGCCGTGAATTCAGCAAATGGCTTTTTTTTCTCTTTACTCAGCTACTTTCTTTCCTTGCTCACCTTTTGGAATCAGCAAGAAGACCCGCTGCACACCTGAAGCTCAGTTTAGAAGGAAATCGAAGTTGAGAAGGGTCATCAGGGCCCATCTGCCTGATGTTGACCAGGCTCCAAGGTGACCCCGAGGAGGCTACCAATGGATTGATGGGACTACAGGAGGAAAAGCTGATAGAACACGGAGCACTACCTGCTGGCCGGCACATGCTTTTGGCCAAGAAATGTCCTGTTCTAGATGTTGATAGGGACAAAGCAAGAAGCCCTCGTCAAGGGGGGAAATATCTCAGAGCCTTTGAGACTGAGGGTAAGCCATTCAGGGTGAGGGTTTGAGCCCTGGATGCTGAGGAAGGTTCACCAGCATCACTTAGCACGCACGCTAGAGGTGTCTCCTGCTCAAATCCTCCCGTGTAAACCTTACTCGGTAACAAGAAAGAATAAACGAAAGTTGCAAATATTATTCCACGAGATTTTGCCATCTGCAACGAGCTTCCTTAGAAGGGCAGTTAAGAAGATGCATCCCCCAAAACAAACGTCTTTGGAGACACGTGCGCAGGAGGTGGGCAGTGAGCAGAGGGTCCTGGAGGACCCCTGAGATCCCGCTTGTCCCTAGGAGGGGTCTCCAGCCACTGGGAGTGGAGGCAATGAAGGGCAGGGGGCCCTGCATGGGGACCCAGCCCACACTCACCCACGCACAGCCGGCCCGTGGCATCCAGCGTCAGGCCCTCAAGACACTCGCAGTGGAAGGAGCCAGCGGTGTTGAGGCAGCGCCCATTGGGACAGACCCCCGGGAAGACCTCACACTCGTTCACATCTGGGCAGCGGAAGGCAAGGAGGAGAGGCAAGGGCTGGAGGCTCCCAGGAGCTGTTCCCTTGGGGCCTCAGGACACCACGTGGTCCTTGGGGAGGGGGAAGGGGCAGTGCCAGCCTCAGGGGCTGGCGGATCGCAGGGAGGACCCAGGTACCAAGGAGGGAGAATGTCTCGATCTCAAATGACTTCAGGGAGGGGCCCCAGGCAGCCCCCATGACACTCGCCCACGTGTGGCTTGGAGGGCGAACCGCGGAGGGTGGGGATGGGGGTTACCTTCGCAGCTGAGCCCCTTCACGCGGGCGAAGCCACGGGCACAGGCGGGGTCTGTGGTTGGGGAGAGGAGTCACTCTCTCCACTCAAACACAGGGGATCTGTCCCCCCCCAGTTGTCCCGATGGCGTGGGAGCCCCCGGAGCACCCCCCCCCCGGGGCATTACCTATGTCACAGCGTTCGCAGGGGCTCCCCCAGGCAGCCCCGAGCGTGGCGCAGCACTCGGACCGCAGGGTGGCTCCGTGCAGGTTCGCCTCGCAGCGGCCATCCTGGACCTTTAGCCAGCAGGTGCCTTTGGTGCTGTCTGGGGGGAGGGGCTTGCTGTCTCACCTGGCGGGCCCACACCTGCACGCCGACCCGCAGAGACCCAGCCTACACCGGGGCGTCGGGGACCCCGCTGCTCCGTGGGGCCTCTCACCTAAGCACACGGTGCCGGAGGGTCCCAGGCGGCTGCCGGGGGCGCACTCGCAGGCGTAGGAGCCGGCCAGGTTGCGGCACACGCCGTTCACACACGGATTGGACAGGCACTCGTCGATGTCTGCAGGGACAGCCCCCCCCCAGCCGCCCCACCCCACAGCGAGTCCTAAGCTGCAGGAGGGGGAGCCCCACCTGACCAGGGGCCCCTCCTCCCCACGGCTGCCAAAGTCCAGTGGCAGGGGGCGCAAGCGGTCAGAATACAAGGGAACGGACTGCGCAGGCTCAGACGCACGTGAGTTTGCACTGAATCGTCTTGTGCACCTGCACAAGCCCGCTGACGTGCAGGGTCCTGGGAGCGCACACAGGTAAAAGTGCAGAGGGATAGGCACGGTGGGGAATGGTGGCCCTCAAAGGGTTGGTCATGGCACAAGACAGGTGAGAGGCAGAAGGAAAACCCAGAAGGGATGGAGGCCTGGGTGTGGCCAGGGTGGGGGAGGGGTGTCAGCTGGAAAGAAGACAAAGGACCAGGGGAGGGGTGGGGCCAGATGAAAAGCTTGTGCGTGACTGTGTGTGTGTGTGTGTGTGTGCGCGCGCGCGCGCGCACGCGCGCGCGCGCAGGTGTCTGAGAGTGCCAAGGGATCGCTATGCGATGGGCAAGGTCATCACAACAAAGTGTGTGTGGGCAATGGCGAGCATGCACACTTGAACATGTGTATGTGTCAGTGACTGCACGTGTGTGAGAGGGAGGATGGGCACGTATTCTTGTGTATAAGCGTGAGTGTGTATGAGCATGTGAGTGCACAAATGTGCAGGTATGTGAGGATGTGTGTGGCTGTGAGCCTAAGTGTGTGAAAGGGCGAGTGAAAGAATGTGGGCACACACATATTTTTGAGAGTGTGCACGTGAGGGTGTGTGACTGTGGGAATGTCTGTGAGTGTGAATATGGGTATGTGTGTTTTGTGTGAGTACCGGTGTGTGTAACTGAGTGATCATATGCACACGTGTGAATGTCAGAGGGTCTGAGTGTCTGCATAAGGGTGTGCCTTTGAGGGTGTAACTGTGGCTGTGAGCATGCGTGTAAAGTGTGAGAATAAGTGTGAATGTGGGTATTCTGTGTGTACCTATGAGTGTGTGTAACTGTGAGACTGAGTGTGAATACATGTATGCCTTTGAGCGTGTCTGTGTGCGTGAATGCAGGTATACATGCATCTTTGAGCATGTGTGTACCCACAGCATGCAGCGTGCGTAAGTATCTGCACGTATGTGTGCGTGGCTGTGTGCCCCGGGACCCTGTACCTTCGCAGGTCTCCGTGTCTTGCCAGAAGCTGAAGCCCTGGGGGCAGGAGCAGCTGTAGCTGCCAGGGCTGTTCCGGCACCGCCCGTTGTCACACAGGAGGCTGTTGAGTGCACACTCATCCACATCTGCAGGGTGAGGGGGGGAGAGCGGGGTGAGGGGTGTGCAGCAGTGGCGGCCCACCCACCTGCCCGTCCACTTGCCAGGCACGCTCACCCATGCACTCCTTGCCGGCTGCGGCTGCCTCGTAGCCCAGGTTGCAGATGCAGCGGTAGCTGCCCCGCAGGTTCTCACACATACCGTTGGCACAGACATCAGGGTCGAGGGCACACTCGTTGATGTCTGCACCAGGAGGAGGGCGTCAGCAGCTGCCCTGGCTCCCTGGAGGCTCCAGAAGCCATGTCCCCCGGGGCCAGAGCTCTAGCCTAGACCCTGCCTCCTTCCCCTTGAAACCAGGGTTTCTCAGCACTGTGGATATTTGGGGCCAGACCATCCTTTGCTGTGACGGGGGGCGTCCTGTGCATTGTAGGATGTTGAGCAGTATTCCCAGCCTTACCCAGGAGATGCCAGTAGCACCCTCCCCAATATTTGTCCAGGCATTGCCAAATGGCCCCTCGGGGTGGGAGCAAAACTGTCCCCAGTTTGGAACTCATGGAACAGATGTTTATATGGCAGCAACATAACTTTGAAAAAAAAAGTGCAATCATTATCACTACCATGATAGGATGTTTACTATTTTGTGCCAAGCATATTAGGTCATTTGATCCTCACAACATCCCTGAAATGGGTCTTACCGTTATCTCCACTGTACAGACAAGGAGGCACAGAGACGGTAGGTAACTTGCCTGAGGTTATTCAATCAATAAATAGTAGGGCCAGGATTCGAACCCACGCATCTGGCTCCAGAATCTGTCCCTTTAACTGACGGGGGTGGGGGAGGGGTGGACATCTGTTCTGCCCTGATGGCCTAGCAGTGGATGGGAAATCTGACTATTCTAAGTCCTTTTATTTCTTGCTCAGGCAGAAAAGCTGTTTCAGGAAGGGATGGTGTCATAGGTTGGAGTCCTAACCCCCAGGATCTCAGCATGTGACTTTATTTGGAGACAAGGACTTTACAGAGGTGATCCAGTTAAAACGAGTTCATTAAGGTGGACAGGCAATCCATTCCAATACGACTGTATCCTTATAAAAGGGGGAAATTTGGCCACAGACGCACAAGGAGAACCCCATGTCAAGAGGAAGGCAGAGGGGTAATTCCCTGATGGTCTAGTGGTTAGGACTCTGCATTTTCACTGCCGAGGGCACGGGTTCAATCCCTGCTCGGTGAACTAAGATCCTGCAAGCTGCACGGCGTGAAAAACAAAAGATGAAGACAGAGGGCATAGGGATGAATTAGGAGTTTGGGAATAACATACACAATACTATATATAAAACAGATAACCAACAAGGACTACGATATAGCACAGGGAACTCAATATTTTTAATAACCTATAAGGGAAAAGAATCCGAAAAAGAATAGATATGTATGTATAACTGAATCACTTTGCTGTACACCTGAAACTAACACAACATTGTAAACTTAAAAAAAACAAAAAAAGATGAATGCAGAGATCAGGATGATGCTTCCACCAGCTGAGGATTTAACAGTGAAGTGCCAGAAGCTGTGGGAGAGGCATGGGACAGACTCTCCCTCACAGCCTCGGAAAGAGCCATCCCTGCTCACACCTTGATCTTGGACTTTTAGCCTCTCCAGAGCCGTGGGAGAATAAACGTCTGTTGTTGAAGCCTCCCAGCCTGTGGTACTTTGTTACGGCAGCCCCAGCGACATGACAGTGCCCAACCACGACCCCACCCCTCTGTCCCAGCACTGCCCCGCTCACCTCTGCCGTCCGTGGTGATGCCAAGACCGCTGCTGCACAGGGCCTGGAACTCGGCTGGAGTGGCGGAAGCAGAGGGAGAGGGGTCAGTGGCCATTGCCGAACCCAAACCATGCCCAAGACGTGGCCCCTTGGAGCTGAGCGAGGGTCTGGGACTAAGATGCCCCCCCCCCCAATGGGAAGAGCAACTTCCTTCCGTGTCTTCTTGGGGAGAGAAATCCCCACCCCCCCCCCCATAGGAGCCAAGCCCCCCCCACACTGTCCCCTCCTGCCCCGTGGGTGATCAACTAGAAGCAAGAACTAAAGGAAAGCGGGTGGACGTGGGGCAGCCGACCCTCACCGGAGTTCTTGGCAGGACACAGCTGGCAGGGTTCCCCAAACCCGTGGTCGGGGCTCACACAGCAGCACTCGGATTTGGTGACGGCACCGGGGAAGGGGCGGGCACAAGAGCCCTTGTTGAGGGTCCCGTAGCACGTGCTACGCATGTGGGTGTCCACGCACACGCGGCCATCCATGCCCACCGCGAGCCCCCCCAGGCAGTGGCAGCGGAAGGAGCCCTCGGTGTTGGTACAGTGGCCGTTCATACAGATGCCCGGTGTCTGGCACTCGTCGATGTCTGCAGGGGGCCGTGGGTGACTGCGACAGGTCCCAGTCCCCCACCACCCGCCCTTGACGCCTCCCCTCACCTCTTCCTCCCTAATCCCCATCACTCCCCTGTGGTCCAGCCTCCAGCCTCACCCACACAGTGGCGGCCACCGGGCGCCAGCAGGAAGCCGGGTTTGCAGAGGCAGGAGAAGCTGCCATCCTCATTCAGGCACAATCCGTTGGCACACATGGTGGTGGTGGCACACTCGTTGTGGTCTGGGGACACCGGGAGAGGCTGGTTCCCAGCGGGGTCCCAGCAGTCACCCCTCTTTGGGCCAGCCCTGCCAGGTAGACCAGCTCCACCCCCTCACTTTTCCAGGGACCCTTCCCAGGGCAGGTCGAGCCTGACAGGACAAAATGTGACTGTCGGGGACTATGTCGACTTGGATATAGTGAACTGCTGGAGTGTGAACTCCCCTGGGGAAGACTGGGACCACTAGCTCGAGTCTGCATCTTCCATCCTGGCACACCGTAGGTGCTCCATAAATAGTTGTTCAAAGTCGAATGCATGAGGTGTGGTGGTTACACAACATTGCACTAAATGCCACCAGTGTTCCTTTAAAAATGGTCTAAATGGTAAATATGTTATGTATATTTCACCACAATAAAAAATGCAAAAAAAAAATTTAAAAAATGAGGTAGTGTTTGCATGACTTTATGAATGTACTAAATGCCACCAAACTGTTCCTTTAAAAAGGGTAGGGGGGCTTCCCTGGTGGCGCAGTGGTTGAGAGTCCGCCTGCCGATGCAGGGGACACAGGTTCGTGCCCCGGTCCGGGAAGATCCCACATGCCGCGGAGCGGCTGGGCCCGTGAGCCATGGCCGCTGAGCCTGCGCGTCCGGAGCCTGAGCTCCGCAACGGGAGAGGCCACAACAGTGAGAGGCCTGCGTACCGCAAAAAAAAAATGCTACGTTTACTTTCCTGCAGAAAAAAATTGAATAAATGTGGGTGCACAACATTGGGAACTACTAAATAAACGCCACTGAATTTTTCACTTTTAAATGATTACATTTATCTTGTGTGAATCTCACTTGAATTTAAAAAGAAAAGGGCAAAAACTGTCAGCTGAAAAGAAAACAGTCTAATTTAAAGGAAGGCGGTGGGTGCAAAAATGATTTGTTTACCAAAGTATCAGTTTTGAACAATAAAGGATTGTACCAAAAGGAAGGAAGGAAAGAAGGGAGAGAGGGAGGGAAGGAAAGGAAAGAACAAATGAATAAAAGGTCCACACCAAAACTTGTACATGAACATTCATAGCAGCATTATCCACAAGAGCAAAAAGTGGGAACAACCCAAATAGCCATTAACTGATGACGGTATAAACAAAATGTGGTCTACTCATATAACGGAATGTCATTTGACAATAAAAGGGAATGACGTTCTGACAACTGCTACAACATGGGTGGACCTTGAAAACATGATGCTCAGTGAAAGAAGCCAGTCACAAAGGCCATGGAGTATGTGATTCCATTTATACAAAATGCCCCGAACAGGCAAATCCATGGAGACGGAAAGTCGATTAGCCTAGTGCCGAGGGCTGGGGGGGAAGAGAGAGGATTCTGCAATGGAGAGGAGGTGATAAAGAGGTTCTAAACTTAGATTGTGGTGATGCTTGTACTAAAAGCCATTGAAGTGTACACTTTAAATGGCCACTTTTATGGTATGGAATGATATATCAATAAAGATGCTAAGAAGGTTTTTTAAAAAATGAAAGAGGGCTTCCCTGGTGGTGCAGTGGTTGAGAATCTGTCTGCTAATGCAGGGGACACGGGTTTGAGCCCTGGTCTGGGAAGATCCCACATGCCGCGGAGCAACTAGGCCCATGAGCCACAACTACTGAGCCTGCGTGTCTGGAGCCTGTGCTATGCAACAAGAGAGGCCGCGATAGTGAGAGGCCCGCGCACCGCGATTAAGAGTGGCCCCCGCTTGCCACAACTAGAGAAAGCCCTCGCACAGAAACGAAGACCCAACACAGCCAAAAAGTAAATTAATTAATTAAAAAAAAAAAGAAAGAATGCACAGGGAATTATACTCAATACTTTATAATAACCCATAAAGGAAAAGAATCCGAAAGCGAATAGATACATGTATATGTATAACTGAATCACTTTGCTGTACACCTGAAACTAACACAACATTGTACATCAACTATACTTTAACTACAAAAAATAAATTAAAAAAATAAAATTTATATGTACCAAGAAAAACACTGATTAAGGATTTCAACTCTTACTGGTTACAGACTATGCAGAGATCTGAAGGAAATATTAAAGACTTGACGGTAGGGCTTCCCTGGTGGCGCAGTGGTTAAGAATCCGCCTACCAATGCAGGCAACACGGGTTCGAGCCCTGGTCCGGGAAGTTCCCACATGCCTCAGAGCAACTAAGCCCGTGCGCCACAACTACTGAGCCTGGGCTCTAGAGCCCACGCGCCACAACTACTGAGCCCACGCGCCACAGCTACTGAAGCCTGTGCGCCTAGAGCCCGTGCTCCGCAACAAGAGAAGCCACCACAATGAGAAGCCCGTGTGCAGCAACGAAGACCCAAAGCAGCCAAAAATTAAAAAAAAAAAAAGACGATGTTAAAATTATAAAACAATGAATTAATCAAAATTACTTTCAGTAGGTGATATCTAACTAATAAAAAACAATGCAACTAAAAATAATAATGATTTATGCACAGACATAAATTACTATACCTAAAGTTAACGCTAAGAAAATAGCTAATTTAATAATCAACTTTCTAAATGTATCTAAAAATCAACAGGAAGTAAATGCTCTGCAAAACAAAAAAAGAATGAAAGGAAGAAAATCCTTCCTGATGAGGGAAGACTACAAGGCAGGTCCCCTCAGAGAGGGTGACAGAAAAGAATAAAGGGAGTCCCCGGTGGCCCCCACAAGCTGTGGGGAGCTTGGGTGGCACCCCCATACCCCACAGGGAGCCTGAGATCGGGGCACTCTCCACGGTCCTGACCCACGTCTCTTGGAGGCCAGACTCTCTCGAGGACAGGTAAGGGGCCATGAGTCAGGGGCAGGGGCAGACGCAGACAGCTGATGGCACGGTCTTACCCCAAAGGCCCCTTCCTGGGATTCAGGGCATGAATTCAGGAAGGAGAGAATGAAGGAGTGAGTAGGGGCTGGATAGACCACAAGGAGGATCTCAGATGGGCTGGTTCGGCTCAGAAAGGGGAGCAGAGGACCCACCGTGAGGAGGGAGGTGGGTGATGCGGCACGAGTGGCAAGATGCAGAAGGTAGCTACTGGGGCCCAGAAGCCGCTTCCCCACCCGCTCACCCTCAACTCACCCACACAGTTCTTGCCATTGGGGCCCAGCTCGAAGCCTGCATTGCAGACGCACTGGAAGCTGCCTGCTGTGTTGACGCAGCGGCCATGGTGGCAGAGGCCACTGCTGACGATGCACTCGTCCATGTCTGGTGGGGAGGCAGGCGGGCAGTCAGCAGGCGTCCTCCTGGCCCCCAGGCTCTAATTCAGATGGAGGTTCCATCAGCCAGGCTCCCGGTCACCCCCACTGTCCGATGGACGGCCATACCCACGCACTCCTGCTTGGTGAGCGTCGCCTGAAAGCCCTCCCAGCACCGGCAGTGGTAGGAGCCGGGGGTGTTGACGCAGTCTCCGTGGTGGCAGGGGCTGCTGGCACACTCGTCCACGTCTGCAGGCAGAGGACCCTGAGCCCCAGCCCGCCAGGGTGCTCCCCCGCCCCCAGCCCACCCCTGCCCCAGCCGCTGCTCACCGATGCACTCTCCCCGAACGTCCTGGGTGTAGCCCACGTTACACTCGCAGCGGTAGCTGGAAGAGGTGGGCAGGCAGCGGCCATTGAGACACAGGTTGGTGAAGTGTCGGCAGATGTCAATGGTCTGGTTCAGCGTGGCTGTGCCTGTGAGTAGGGCCGACGTGGGGCACCCGAGCACGTGCTGGCCCCCTGGGTCTGGACCTCACCTCCAGGTTCAGACACCCACTCAAGAAGCTGGAATCCTACCCCTATGGCCAGGCTCTCCCACTTCAGCCAAGTCTTGCCCCACCTCCACCCTGGCTGAGACCCCCAGCCCCCCACCCCAGCCCTAGACCCTCACCCAAAACCCAAACCCTGACCTGGAGGCCTGGATCCCCAATCTACCCCCAGCTCCAGACCACTGGCAGTACTTTCATCCCTACTGCCCAGGCCAGGACCCACACTCCAAAGCCCTGACTCTCTGTCTCTGAGGCCTGGACCCCCTTCCCCCAAGGGAGGAGTCTTGGATCCCAAGTCCTCACCAATGTTGGTGTCACCAAGGCCCAGGCTGGGAACCCCACGCCCACTGGATCCGAAGCCAGGGAGGCCGGGGAAGGGGCCTGGGTAGGAGGGCAGCAGCGGGAGCCCCAGGGCACACAGTCGCTGGAACTCATCTGCAAGGAAGCGGGGTTGGAGGCCAAGCCTTCGGTTGTGCCCCGGGATTCCAACCCGCAGACCAAGCTCTGGGGGCAGAGGAAGGTGGGAGGTGGCCCCAGGCCACTCACCAGAGCCCCGCGGCGGACACAGCTCAGGGGCCGGGCCAACTGCCCAGCACCTGCCCGTATCACAGCAGCACTGCCTATGGGTATAGTGGCCAGCGAGGTCTCCGGCACAGCGGCCCACGATCAGCGCCGAGAAGCAGGTGCCGGCACGGTGGTCTGCAAGGGGTGGGGTGTCGGGAGGATCCGTTACCAGACTTCAAATCGCAGGTCTACCAGCACCATCTGCAGGACAGACCTCCTTGCCTCTCTGTGCCTCAGTTTCTCCATCCATGGATAGGAGATGCTCAGAGCACCCACCTCACCTCGGTAGAGTGTTGCAGAGTGCACCGTATCTGGCATGTGGCCAATCCTCACTGAGTGAGGATCTTATTACCAAGATTTCCAAATTACCCCAGGGAGGGAGACTCAGGCTCATGCTGAGCAAAAGTGTCCCAACATCTAAAGCTGGCATTGTTAGGAAGTTCCCTGTCACTGTGGGTATTCAACCACACTGAGTAAGACCCCTGGTTCAGGGGGTTGCCCCGGTGAGAAGTCATGCTGGGTGCTCAAGCAGAGATGCTGGGATCTGTATCTGCGTGTCCCCGCCTACCAGCCCTGGGCATTCTGGGGAAACCTAAGAGGCTATGAATTTGAGGAGGGGCCTGGGGAGCAGACTGGTGGACTGATGGCTGCAACTCTTGGAGAGACTGAGGCAGAGACTCCCCAGGTACGAAAACCACAGACGCTTCCACTGTGCCCTCGAGCCTGACGGCGTTACACGGTGATCATATTTCTCAAGCTCTGACTCCAAAAGAGCATATTTTTAGGTTTGAAAACCCACAAATGTTGGCCAGTGGCCCACAGCGGGGGGGGGGGGAACCCCCCCC